TATACGTTTGGTTCCCGTCGTTTGCAAGATTCCGGTGTCCATCATTCTTCGCAAACTATCGCCAACGCGTGAATCACTACACCTAGACTGGGTTCTGCCCTGGTCGCGGCTGCATCGATCAGCTTTTCACACTACGCCAGATTCTCGAGCTCCGCCATGTGTAGCAAAAGCCAACGATTGTTGTGTTCCTGCATATCCGTGCTACCTTCCGTTCTGTTGACAGGGCTGCAGTGTGAACTGTCTGTTGAGGAATGGCACTCCCGGGAAGTTCCTTTCCGTACTGTTTGCTCTGTAGAGCCTGACCTTGGGTAAAGTTAGGACTTATAGCAAGCCTTTGCCTTCCTTTGTCGTCACCAGTAATGTTCGACAAGGATGCCCTATTTCTCCATTCGTCTACAATTTTGCCATTGAGGATGTCCTCTAAAATTATCTGGAGGACACGTTGAACGCTAGCTTTGAGCTCACCCCAGGTAGTCGAATGGTTTATTTGGATTACGTTGATGATATTGTGCTATTGGGTGACGGTCCATGGGCCGTGCAATTTACACTTAACCGCCTGATGCTTGAAGCGTCGAACTACGGCATGCCTTTTCACCGTTCAAGTGCCAAGCGCTTTTTCAAGACTGGCATACGTCTCTACTTGCACTCACCACAGATGATGAGACACTGGAAGTTGTACATCGTTGTGTCTACCTGGGAAGCTGCATCCCAGCCGGTGGAGCTGTTGGAGACGAGGGTTCGATGTGTATCTCAAGAGCTCGCCTCGCTTTCTCTAAGCTATGGTAATTATAGTGTCGTCATGACATCCATCTCTTCATCAAAGGGCGGATTTGTAGTGCCACCGTCCGCGCTGTACTGTTGTGCGGTTGCGAGACTTGGTCTGCTGGTACCGATGACCTGCACCGACTGTCTGTCTTCGGGAACTGTTGCATGCGGTCTATCGCCCGTGTGTGCTGGCTGCACCACATAACCAAAGTTAAAGTCAGACAGCGGGTCTTGGGCAGAGGCAGCCGCTCTCTCCGGGCGCTTGTCTCGTTGCGCCAACTACTATGGCTTGGACACGTACTGCGCATGCCCGTTCAGCGTCTTCCTCGTCGTGCGTTGTTCGCGGTCGTTAGACAGGATTTGAGGAGACGGTTTGGTGGACAGCCTACAACTTGGAAAAGCAGGATCAAAATGCTGACAAAACAGCTGGCCTCGCTTGGTTCTTCTCCACTCACTGGATGGGGTCCCAAATATGCTAAGTGCCTCTGGTTGGAAAACTTGGACGTCATGCCTCAAACCAAACTCAGTGGTGATCGTGTATCTCTGCCTGTTGCGGTGAGTTCTCTTCCCTTCCTAACTAATAAACATCCAAAAAGAACCCAAAAATCTGTGAGTGGGATAATGGACAATAGGTTGCTTGTTTTCTTTCTTCTGTTGCTCTAATCCTCCTTTGTATTCCGCCACGGCTCCGGTGGCATAAGATCTGTACACAAATCACAACCGATATATATATATATATATATATATATATATATATATGGTTGGCGGCATCCGGTTTCGGATTTGCCTGTCACTGTGGTCAGACACAGGACGCCTGCGCCTAAAGAGGGACCATGGATGGCTTGCGATGCACCACCCACAGCTCCAATCACACACCCCATATGCAGTGTAAATTCGAAGGAATAAAACCGAGAGGCATGAGAATGGGAGCCACGTTTCATCAACAGAGCCGGCCCACACTCCTTTACAGGCAAACACAAGCACACTGTATTTGGGGAATCAACCGCACACAAGGCGGTGGCTGGACCGTAGTCCGCTCCACACTGAGTGTCCGGAACCACTCTTCGAGCCTAGCACGGCCACAACGACCGTGCATCCCCGTCCCCTCCAGCAACGACCAACTGTCTCCTGGAGCCAGTATGGACGAGGTAGTGGGTAATAGACAGGTAGGCACCTTGTCAACATGCACATCAAGCGCAGCCACATCGGGGATATCAAGCAACAGCCAGTCACTTGAAACGACAAAATGAAATAAAATAAATCCAATAATGCATACAGATACGGTGGCATAACTCCTCGCTAAATTAGAATATGAAGTAATTTGGTTAGCAATGAATCCGCGATAAGGAAAAAGAATGTCCACAAGTTACTCAAAAATGCTACAAATGCCACAAAATTACCGAAGACAAGCGCAATTAGCGTAAACAACGTGGCCAGCTAATAGACGACTATCCAGATAGGCAAAACAAACCAAAAAACTGGAATGAAATTTATGCAGCTGGAAGAGACCTAGTTTAAGCGTAAGTTTGTTTAGCCCAACTGCGGTGAAGAAGCATCAAGAATGCAACATCAGCCTCAGCATGGGGCACAACATACAAGGCGGTGGCTGGACCGTAGTCCGCTCCACACTGAGTGTCCGGAACCACTCTTCGAGCCTAGCACGGCCACAACGACCGTGCACCCCGTCCCCTCCAGCAACGACCAACTGTCTCCTGGAGCCAGTATGGACGAGGGTAGTGGGTAATAGACAGGTAGGCACCTTGTCAACATGCACATCAAGCGCAGCCACATCGGGGATATCAAGAAACATCCAATCCCCTGAAACGACAAGATGAAATAAAATAAATCCAATAATGCATACAGATACGGTGGCATAACTCCTCGCTAAACTAGCATGTGAAGTAAGTTGGTTAGCAACGAATCCGCGATAAGGAAAAAGAATGTCCACAAGTTACTCAAAAATGCTACAAATGCCACAAAATTACCGAAGACAAGCGCAATTAGCGTAAACAACGTGGCCAGCTAATAGACGACTATCCAGATAGGCAAAACAAACCAAAAAACTGGAATGAAATTTATGCAGCTGGAAGAGACCTAGTTTAAGCGTAAGTTTGTTTAGCCCAACTGCGGTGAAGAAGCATCAAGAATGCAACATCAGCCTCAGCATGGGGCACAACATCCCATAATACGAACCCTATGGTGAGTCAATCTTGACGCTTTACATTTTATCATGATATTTTATTTTATTAATAATTTCCATTCAACCGGACTTGTTAAGCATAGCCTTTTTATCCGCGACACACCATGGTCGTAGAAATGAGTTTACTTTGTACACAGGACGTCGGTGCTTATAATTGTTAGCACAGCGTAATTCCACATGTTTTCGCTCATGTGTATGGCGCTGCTATCGGTGGCTTCGGTAAGGCGTCTGCGGTTTTCGTCTAGTTTTTGACACATATCATAGTGGCTGTAGTGGCTGAATCTCTTTGAGTCCCAGTTGAATACATCGAACAACAACGGCTGAGTAAGTGGATCGGCCTTTTGAGAGGTTTGGTTTCTGGGGGCCCATCTCAGGTGTAGATATTTTCGAGTTTGCATTAATTATATATTAATATTACATTACATATGCACACGGTGATGTAACAATTTCAAAAATTCTAACTCGAATCTGCTGAACACAAACTCTTGTAACGTTTCGAATGAGGAAGTGAGATAAAGCCGAAGGCGCGCATCATTTCACATATCACTCGATATATTAAACGGTGGTGACAGTGTAATAAGCTTTTTTGGCGTTAACTAATCACATAAACAGCTCTGATGAATTTTTAGTATTTCTTGGGCGCAATTTTTCCAATTAAACAGCCCCAAAGGACACAGAAATGGGTCGACACAAAGCCCATGTTACTAGTCAGTCTAAGAAAAATAGATATGTCGTTCTGACAAGTGGCATGGAGCGAAAAGTAATATAATTTGCATGCAACCTTTCTAGATACTTGGTACAATGTTTTTCCTCTACCATGCTAGAGATTGCTATTAGGGCACTGGGTTGATCCTTCGACAGCGAGTACAAACAGATTGTGTTCTTGTTACCCCGCAGTAGTGAACGTGTTGAAGACGTTGTCCTATCCATTTGAAACGGTTAAACTACTTAATTAGACATATCAAGACCACCTCCTTTGCTTAGCTATCCCATCAGTTACTAACTGCTGTGCGCCATACATTCCAATTTGCTTCTCTTTCGGATAAGAGCAGAAGCATGTTTCCGATTTTGTTGCTTACAGTTAATCAACTCAATGGTGAACTGTGTCCAGTTTCCTAGTGCACTATCATACAGCCTCGTTGTTTATGAGCATAGATAATCATCCCGATTAACAATGCCACCCTGTGCAATTGTTCCACTTATACCTGGTCGATACTCGATGAATGGGAGGCTGTTAAACACTGGCTGTTATTTTCACACAACCGACCCCAGTGTGGAGTAGTATTTAGGCTACCCAGTGCTGCCTGTTAGCACGTAGCTTTGTCCGCCAAGGAAAAATAATGTTTCAGACTTTACTCGGCAATTGAGCCGTCAATATCAAAGTGTGACGATTGCATTTTGTTCAAAGTAAATGGGCGCAAAACTATTTCTGAGCTTGAGCGCTAACCGAGAAAGATCCTCAGTGTCACGCGACATTTGCATTTATGGTCATGATTCCGAATGAAGCAACATTGCAAACGCTGACATAACTAAGATTCACCTCATTGAACTTCGTGTTATGTCGTTATCGCTTTTGCACACAATACAAGTATAGATTCGCAAGCACCGAATACATGAATTTATTCGACTGTCGACTTCACCATCATCGGAAATGCTGTAGAGGCCGCCTCGGGTTAACATTATTCAAGCAGTATATACACGGAGTGCAGATAATTAATATTACAGTGTTGCAATCAGAAATATATTCCACGTAGAGCTGCCTGAGCATATTTGGAGACTCGTGGACCGCAGTCTGTTTCAGCGGCAGTGTTAGTTCTGAGAAGTTATCAAGATGCTACATCTCTAAACCGACCAGTTAACCACAAACAGTTATCGAGTTCAAACCCGGATTTTGTGCCATTTCATTGAGGTACAGATGTCAATCATGTGGCAACCTTGTACTCGTCAGTGAATAAAACCATGGATCCGAGTTGACATGTTACATCGTTCTAAAATTTGTGATCGCGCTTTCACCCCAACAACTTGTTAATTGCAGATGTTATGATGACTCGATGGGAGACTACGTGGAACTGAGCAGTTGCCAGCCAATTTCATCACCGGCTTACCTGAAGCGTCGGTTGTGTCACCGAACGAAACCCGACAGCTTGTATCGAATAGACTGGTATGAGCCGTGTCTGCTTTTGCGATTCGTCTCGAATGCAATGTTCGTGCGGAATGGGTTTCTCGGAGTGTACAAATTTCACACCTATAGTAAGTTTTGTATCTTAAATTATGTTGTTCGTATATTCCAAAATATAACAGAATGATACATGAGGTAGAACGCCGTGGCATCGTTAGCCGTTTGTCAGAGTTTGGCGCATACGGAATAATCTGATGTTTTGTTGCTTAAAAGTATTGTTAAGTTTGATCCAGGACAACCAGTAAATCTTAGAAGACATGTTGGTCAAATATACATCCACATCTCAGCTGATCTCATATTAATCCATGTACGAGTGACTGATTAAAAAACTATCAAAACATTTTGCTACAATCGATCAGGTGTTATGATCGACCGGTGGCCGGCCGTGTCGAACCGCTGACGTTTGATAGGGTGTGGGGATTAATTCCTAGAGTGTGGCTAATACTTCCTATGTTGTGGGTGGAAAGGTAATCACTCTGTTTAGTCTGCATGCCGTAATAAATTTGTATGACAGTACAATTCACTTACATAAAAACGTTAATAGGCAAATCATAGAAACCACGAAATAACTTTTAGTGGGATACAATGTACTGTACCCCACATGTGTGCAGAGGTTATATTTCCTTCCAACAGAAAGGTTATTATTTCCAACCCTTAGCTGCCCCGTTTATAAGCTTAACGCAGTGTCATACTCAGGCTTGCCTAAATCATCACGAGTTACTGCGTATAGTCCTCAAAAATGCTCGAGGCGGTGCTATAGTAAGAACAATGGAACAATGCAATTTTCGTGGCTAAGAAAGCAAACACTTAACAAATTCCGTAAGTAGCTTGGACGCACAGTAATAAAGAAACTAACGCGTTGCTCTGTACAGACCGCAAATTTCACGTGTACACATGGTTTTGTTGGGTTATTATGTGTCGTAGTAACGCAGATGGTCTAGTGTATCACAAAGTTGCGTTTTGAAATCAGAAAAAGTAGGATCGGTGATGACAGAAAGCGGAAGTCCTACAGCTGGGATCCAAAAATGGTGGAAAGATTCGGAAGCGTTCCAACCGCCTATGCTGTGTCACCGACTACAAAGGTTGGCCTCTTAGTAATGTGTTGTGGCTGAGTTTCAATAGGGGTGTCATGGGTGGTTAGAGTCCTTGAGGTTCTGACACACCAATATGAGATTACTTTGAAGAAGACGATATCGTTCGTTAAAAACCCCTAGTCTCTACTTATGAGGGAGGTGGAGCAATCCCTTAACCTTTGTTGTCGCCGTCCGTAATGGCTGCTCTCGAGCACAGAAAGAAGAACAACCGAGCGGTCATTTTCTGACACAGCATGATTGCCTCCCATGAATACGAAAATGACTATTCCACACGTTCACATAGTAAGAACCTGGATAAACTGAGATAACAGCTCAGATAAGCTGTTGTTGGCACAAGCTTCCCTTTGCCTTAATAACAAGCACCACTGTAGAAGCCTTCAAAGAATACTGACGATAGCAAACTAATCTATAAGTTTCGGGGTGACGAGCTTCACGGGACAGTACTGATCATTCAAGATGAGTAACATTCCCATGAGTAATAGTGCTGCACATGGGTGATGAACCTCTTGGCTAAAAAGTCAACTATCATGTCTTACGGCTGCTGCGTCCCCGAAGGATCAATCACCCTAAACAATGAACGGGTCCTTACAGAGTTGTCCACGTGAGATATTGGCATTAGGTAACTTCCATTTCTGCGAACAGGCCCAATACCAAGCAGCACGTGCCATACAGTCTATGTTCAATATATCAAACCAAATACACATAACTCGTGCTAGAGTTGAGCTTCTCAAGCTACTCACTCGCCCCATCCTCGAATACTGCAGCATAATATGCAGAAATATGAGTGATAAAATTGCTGTGGAGAACCTGCAGTCATCTACTAAACATCTGATTGGTAAACACTCTGCACTGAGTTATCGAGAACGTTGCAATGAATTTCATCTCGAACCACTTTGGATTGGACAAATGAACCACAACTTGTTGCTGTTTTTCAACACGTTATACAAAGAGACCTATACAAACCTGCCTGCACTCAATTTACAACATTGTTCAACTCGAGCGCTTCGCAACAAAGATTTTATATTGAATACACCGAAGGTTAGAAAGAACGTCCGCTCTATTTTCTTCCTGGTCAGATACAGCTATCTGTGGAATAAACTACCACTAACACTCAGGTCATGTGACAATGTGGCAAAATTTAATAGTAGACTCGCCAATTACCTTAATCTAACTACCCTAAGCTCTATATTCACACGAGAAAAATCCCTCGATGAGCTATTCCAAGTGGGGCCCAAAAACATCTAAACACCAATGTTTTCATAACTAGGCTTTGGCCTCAACCATCCTCCAGAATGTTAATACATGAAACGCATATCCTAATACTCCACCTATGCATGTCACCCAAGTGAGAGCATGGATTCTTCTGTACAAAGTGACCTGCGTCGCTATAGACACAGTTTCTCTCCTCAAGAGAAATATACGTATTATTATTAGTATTGTTATTATTATTATTATTATTATTTTAAATTTATCGACCATTGTCAAAGACTTTGTAGTCCACGATTCCAGAAAGTACAATGATTGCTCATGTCCTTGCTTCAGTTCCTCTGCAGAGGCAACGGAAGAAACATAAACGTAGAAGTATAGGGACCCGCGTTTGCTTGCCGAGAAAAGAAATTAGACGCTCGTTTGAAGGGATCCCGTCTAGTCCTTGGAAACTGACCGGAAATGATCTAGTCCACAAACTTGCACAGACCGACGCATGCGCACAGGGGTTCAGACAACTGGTTCTCTGAACTGGGTAGGCGGGATGTCGTTAGACGTGACACACGCTAGTCAAACAGAGTGCGAATAGACGGTGTCGATTATCGAGCAAGAGTGCGTACGGTGTCTGCCGGTACGGAAGAAACAGGACGTTTAGGGACGCTAGTTCTGGTGTTGGTATCGACTTGCATGATTGACAGGTCAGGGCGACAAGGGGATGATTACATTTGTGCAGGTGTATAACGATGCATCCTGTTCCCAAGACCACAGCTAGGTTATTCGGAGAATCAGTAGCTCCACAAAAGATATTAGACGAAGGAGGACATGACAACCCTAATTATCTATAGTTACCGAACCTTCTAGATCAGGGGTGTCGAAAGTGCGGCCCGCGGGCCAAATGCGGCCCTCGTTAACATTCCAAATGGCCCGCGGCCTCATCACGAAATAATAAATGCAGGCTTAGATTTTTCGCACATGTCTAATTTTGTTTTTATCTTAATGTCAGAGTGAATATAGCCCGACATATTTTTGTCTCACAAAATGTGAGGAAGAGGACTAGAATGTATATACGGTCGCGCAATACAACGTGCTATCCGCGCTTGTTAAGGAGGTACCTTGGAACTTATTAACGGAAAGCCACCAGAAATCGCCCGGGACACGCTTACAAGGACATTCACCACACTGGTAACGCATGTGTCTGAGCAGAAATCCTTCCAACGTCAAAGCTGAAGGAAGTTATTTCTATGGAGCAGAACACGCAAATGCATGTCCTTGAGGGACTTAACATGGAGCGCTCACAAGGACCCCGAATTCCGAAACCTGGACTCCCTATGTGGCACAGCGTAACTACTTTGTGAATTTGATCCGCGAGGACAAGGGAACGCATCAACAGGAGTTAACGAAAAGATTCTGTACAAACCGCAAACTATTATACAGGCATGTTAATGGCCCTCGTAAGGCACAAGGCGGAATTTCAGCAGTGATCACGACTGACGGACGCACGCGATCAGCAACGGAAGCAACTGATCGCTTACGGTTCCATGGCTCACAAACATTCCAGAGAGTAACAGGCCCCACGGTTATCCCTGTTTCTATTGTCCCACCATCAGCTTTATCCAATATTACTTTTACTGCAGCAACTATGTCAAAGAAACTGTTGTCCCTTTGTATCCACAGCCTTCCTGGTCTCGATAACATTTGACCGAAAGCTTTACAGGCAGCAGCCAGTGATCTGGCGGAACCTCTGGCTATGTTCTACCAGCGCTGTGTGGAGGAGAATCATATTCCAACTATATGAAAGTGAGGGATTAACACTCCTATTCATAAGGGAGGTAGTCGTGCTGAGCCAACTATTTACCGTCCGATAACGCTACTCCCTGTGCTTTCCAAGGTTATGGAGTCTACCATCGTCGATGCACTCACGCAGTATCTGAAAAATCACAACCTGATAAAAGCAGAGCAATATGGCTTCCGACAAAAGCGCTGATGCACTATGAACCTGCTAATTGCACGTAATAGCTGCACTGAAGCAGTTGATGGTGGAGCAGGAATCGATGTCATTTACCTGGAATTCTCAAAAGCATTTGATCGCTTAGACCACCAAATTCTCCTCCATGGTCTTCAGCTTTATGGCATTGGTGACATACTACTGCGTCAGATAGGCAATTTCCTGCACGAATGTTGGTTGGGGTTTAAAGTACGAGAATCCCTGTCCGACGCTCGGTGCTTGGGCCCCGTCAATTCATGTTTTTCATAAACGATTTGGCGAGGGAAATCACTTCCCATTTCCTATTATTTGCGGATGATATCAAGTGATGACTAGCGCTCAGAGAACCGAACGACCAGGAAGAGCCCAAACGTGACTTAAACACGATTTCAAGCCGGTCAGTTCTGAATACACTACCGTTCAATGTGGAAAAATATCACGCTGTTCAAGTGCTTCCTAGGCTTGATTACGTGCATAGGCTTGGGTCACATGTATTGCAAACAACTTCCCAAGAACACGAACTTGTTGTGCTCATTCAAAGTGATCTTAACTGTTCAAAACGGTTAGAGGCAGTTTCGAAGAGAGCCAACCAGTAAGTCCGCTTGCTGCAACGAGCATACAGAAGATTAGACCAATCCATCTTCTCCATGATGCACAGTTCTTGCTTGCGCCCTCACGTTGAGTACGCCGTTCAAGCTTGGCAACCTTGTTTGAAGCACTACTTAGAAGTACTAAAGAAACCCCAACACAAGGCCACAAAGTACGTCAAGGTCCTACTAAATCTGTT